CCCCCCCCCCCCCTCCCCCGAGAACCCTCACTCCGCGCAAAGGGGATAAATCGCACGTTGTGTTAAATTGGTCAAGCACCCTCGAGGCAGTTACGCAGCGCTTCCAACTGTCTCTGGAAGTGAAAGCACCAGAAAATAAATTAAGTCATACGTAGCTGTCATCCGTACGCAAGGAAGTAAGCACAAGATGCCGAACACCCTTAGCAGGATGCAGCGCACCCTTCATGCGACTCGCCGAATACCTCACGGCGCTTCGCGCTTGGTGATGTGAGAGCCTGGTCCGGTGAGAACCCGGCGTGCTCCGTCCCGGCTTTGTAGGGATGCGAGGTAAATGGTCTAACGACTACGGCATGCACGACTATGAGTACCCCCCCTCCCCCCGGTATCCCCGTACCCCCCGTACCTTGTCCGTTTCCCCCTTGAACTCCCTGGCGACTACCATGAGCAGCATGTTGGAGGGAACCATGTGTCCCAGCAGCTCTCGCACTAGATCCGGGTCGTAGTCGTACCGGAGAGATTGCCCCGCAACGGCTAGATCCGGTGGGTAGACCTGAACAGTGTTGTTGTTGTTGTTGTTGTTGTTTCAGCACCGTTCATTTTATGAAGAACACGGTTGGTGCCCCGCAGAATGTAGGAGCACACACGGGGTGGCGAAACTTTGAGGACTCTTCCCAAAAAATTAATAAGGAACACGATCAAATGCTGTTCACAAAGAAAACGTCGCTAAAAAGCGGAGGTGACTGCTGTACTATCGTACGGACAAAGCACCCACCACCACCGCCGCCGTATGCCCCCCAGGCGACAGGCGTAGGCGACCGCTGTACGGAGAAAAAACACACCGGCCACCCTACCTGCACGTTTCCCGCTAGCCGACAAGTGTACTAGGCGATTGAAGTATGGAGATAAAAACACCGGTCACCCTACCTACATGTTTCCCGTTAGCCGACAAGCGTAGGCGACTGCTGTACGGAGATAAAACACCGGCCACCCTACCCGCATGTTTCCCGCTAGCCGACAAGCGCACGCGACTGCTTCACGGAGAAAAAAACACACCGGCCACCGTACCTGCATGTTTCCCGCTAGCCGACAGGCGTAGCTCGAGGGGTCCCCCTTGCTCGAGAAGCGGAAGTTCATGGCGGCGATCGCCTGCGTCTCGAGGTGTATCCACTCCTGGACCCCTTCCTCCCGTAACAGGTTGAGGTACTGGTAGGTCATGCTCACAATCTCATTCACGTGCTCCTGTTGGGGGGGGAGGGGGGTCACGCAGTTGGGACGGTTTTACCGGGTACAGGGTTCGTGTTTTTTCACGGCGTGGTTTAATGTCGCTTAATGTCGGAAGAACGAGGGGGAGAGAGGGAGAAGGGACAAGGAGAAATAGAGAGGGGGGGTGGACAGACCGAGATAAAGACTGACGAAGATAGAGGGCGGGGCGGAGAGAGTACAACATATAAATTATACAAACCGATGAACGACCCATCGTCCTCCTCTAGGCTATCATGTGAGCGTTCGTCACATGCCCTTGAGACATGCTCTTCGCGTTGGGGAGAGAGAAAAGCAACCGACGCGAGAGAAGAATAACGGGAATGAAAAAACACAACACAAGGAACAGCAGAAGGCCAAAGGCATGTGCGCAAGTGTGCGGAACTCACTTCACGGTCTACGCCCACTCTTCGTGCCACGTTCGCTTTAACCACTCGAGGACACGTTGGGGCCGTAACCAGGGTGGTAGCGGAAATCGCTCGCATAGCCGAACTCAGCAATTTATGCATCGTTCAGCGCACGGTGGCGCACCCAAGCGACTAGCAGGACTTTTTGCACCATTTCCTTTTTCGAACCCTTTAAACAACGTGTACCATACGTAGGTTGCATAAGATCTGACCTATTCCGCAGTCGCACGATCTGTCTCATGATCACCCCCCCCCCGCCCCCAGTGCTTATAACTGTCTCTGGAAGCGAAAGCACCAGAAAATAAATTAAGTCATACGCAGCTGTCATTCGTACGCAAGGAAGTAAGCACAAGATGCCGAACACCCTTAGCAGGATGCAGCGCACCCTTCATGCGACTCGCCGAATACCTCACGGCGCTTCGCGC